TCAGTCGTAATGGCTGTGGCAGCTCGAAAATGTGTTTGTCGATGCCGTCTGATTGCGAACCTGCGGGATCCGGCTGCTTTTTCATGTCTTCTAAAGTGAACAACCAAAACATTTCCTTAGAGCTCAGTGGCAGAACATCTGGATATGTCGCGCTGGGACTCACCAAACAGGTAACGAGTACAACTGAACATAAAATAAAGTAAAATAAACAGAATCTGATTGGCTTTTTGCACCTATTTAGGTAAGATGGTAGTGAAGATGACATTCTCTAGACTTGTCTGTTGTTTACTTGTCATCAATAGAGCTAAATAAATCTAAATAATGCTCCTGGTTGTATAATTATAAATCCTTTATTATTATTATTCTTTTAAATGATGACATCCATTTAGCTGCAGTTTTAATGAAATGTTCTTTTCCTTTTAGAATTACACTTATGTGTTTGTCTGTGGCAACAACTACAACAGCAGCAGCAACAGCAGCAGTTTTTTCTTTCAAACAGCCACTCAAAACGGCACAGTGTTGACTCCTGCTAACATGGTATGTGTGCAGATTGACTAAAACGAACACCTTCTGTCAATATCGCCAAACCGCAAATCTCAATGCACTCCCCACCTGCCTATCTGTCTATCTATGTCTGTCTCCGCCTATATACGTTTGTTTTAGTAAGAACAATTTATTAATTGCCAGAATGTGCAGGTGTCTTGATGTTCCTAATAAAGTGCACAGGAACATTAACCAGTCGTATAACTTGTTATTTACATTTATGGCATTTGGCAGATGCTCTTATCCAGAGCTACTTACATTTATACAACTGATCCTGAGTTTAGGGTTAAGGGCCTTGCCCAAGGGCCCAACAGTGGTAGCTTGGCAGTGCTGGGGCTTGAACTCCTGACCTTCTGATCAGTAACCCGGAGCCTTTAACCACTGAAACACCACTGCCCTTGTTATTGCAATTATTACCTGAACCATGTTAATATTCCATTAACATCTCATAATATATTGTCTTTCTTTTGTTGGTATTTTTTTTCAGTCTATGGTATACTATTATCAGGGTCAAGTAACACAAAACCAGAATTTGATTCAGTGCATCTTCAACACCAGCATCACTTTCAACATCACCACCAAAGCCGCTGATACCGAGTACAAGGTCAGCATCTTCAATGGAACCACTAACGGTGAGCTTTTACTGTTACAATACATCCTCTTTTTCTGTTTGTTATAGATGGGTTTTTTTAACAACCTTGGTGTTGTTCAAACCTTTACTTAACATATATGTAATTTCAGCATAAATCATACATATCCTGTACACACTGCTATTTCTTACTGGTAGTGTAGCTATATATACTTATACCATAGTACTGTTTCTATTCTATTCTATTAATGTACTCGTTCTAAAACGTTATCGCTTCTATAGTAACAACTCATTCAAGGGGATTTTTATTACAGACACTCCACATAAAGGAATGAAAATAGGTGTGTAATCATTGATATGGGGATGTTTTCTGTAAGAGGATTGTTTAACATTCATCTCAGTAACAAGACACGCTGGTTTTGTCTAATCATCAAGAGAGAAACAAACGTGTTCACAGCTGCTACTTTATGCTAGCTTTCTAACACATTTCAGATGTTCCACAACATTAAGTGTAACTATAAACCACAGCCGATTACTTTATAACCTACATGGTCATGAGTTCAAATCCCAACACCACGAAGCAGCCACTGCTGGGTCCTTGAGCAAGGCCATTATCCCTCAATGGCCTCAATGAACTCCCATAAACTTTCAGTAAAACATATCAATTCGACTCAAGCTAAGCTTGGTCGCACCAGCTGCAGCCAAAGTATACTGTCTCTACACTACTCAAAAATGCTTTAAACATGAAAGATAAATTAAGATTTGATAAAGATTTAAGATTCAGGATTCAAAGGTTTATCTGTCACGTGTGCAGTCAGAGAAAGCACAAAAACGTTTGGGGATGTGATGTTACTGAAATCAACTTTGGAGTCGCAACAGTAGCTTAATTTTATCAAGCCATCCCACCTTGAATTATGTTTTTTTTTTTAGTAAGGGTCTCCACTCTGTTTCTACAGGAAAACAATTGGGAAATGCAACACCACTGCTTACCACCGGAGGAAGTTTAGACCTGTCTAATCCCAGTGCACCACTCAGCCTGACCACACAGCGTCCCCAGACTAATCCTGCAAACGGCTGCAACTCAGTAATCAGCCTCTGGACTCATGGTAAACACACATTACACACAAGTAATCTTTTATATTAAATATATATATTTTGTATATGTTGACATTGTATTTTTCTCCTCTTTCACTCAGTGTTGGCTGTGCTTCTCAGTGCAATGAGTCTCCACTTCATCAATTCACACAGTTCATGAAGTATAAATGTGTATTGAAAGTTACAAGTGTATGCGTGTAAAATATAAAATCATCATTAATTGGCCGAACATGAAGTCATGCCTGTAACCTAATTAATATATTGGCACTTACATTTGAGCTGTAGCTAAAATGTAAAAAGAAAACCTTTTTGGAATATATAAATGACATTAAATTACACCAAATCAGATTATTTTTTTCTGTATAACTCTAAATTAGAATACAAATGTACTGAATTATTAAAGTATGTTGCTTACGACTTTCAGCTGTTTGTTAATTATTCTGATTTAATGGCCACAATAACTAGAGTAATTTTTTTTCTTGTTATCATAAATTAACATCATTCACTTAATTGATACTTTCAGAAAAATTGTAGCACATAAATTAGCCAATCTTCTCTTGAATTTCCCAAATTCCTGCTTTTGCACAAACACCCAGGAAAACTGATGATTAAATCTTATCCTTTGCGCCCTGTTATACTAGAGCAGGGGTGCTCACACTTTTTTGACTTGCGACCAGTTAACAGTTAACACTTAACATGACCAGTCAAGGAGATCTACCTACATTAAAAATGCGAAACATATTTATTTATGTATATATATATATATATATATATATATATATATATATATATATATATATATACACTGGGTATACTTTAAATATGTATACACACACAATATATATGTCCATGTACCTTGTATAACTGCATGAACCCTTATGGCACACTACAATTCAGTACATTTTTGGTCAATACCTTTATTTGGACTTAATAATCCAAATTTGGGAAAAGGCTGACTCACATACATAAGCAGAGCCAAATAATGCAGTCGAGGAGGTTGTACATTTCCTCATGTTTGGGTACTTTCCCCCTTTGAGTAAGTTCCAAAACTGTCCATGAGCCCTGGACTTCAGCTGAAAGTGTCTGTCAGACTTTGAGCGACAGACAGCTGTCAATCTGCTCCGTGTAGCGTGCAATGTTGAACTGTGCACAAGCCTTCCGCTGCGTCTCCACATCTGACGCGAGGTTTTGGAAGTTCCCAAAAACATGGTGCTGCAGCTTTGAGGACAGAAGTCGCATTTTCCGTTTAAAGGCATTAACTGAGCTGATCATATTGACCACGGAGTTGTCTTTTATTTGCAGCTCCAAATTAAGCTCAGTTAACATGTTGGTCAGATTGGTTAAAAATGCCAAGTCCAGCAGCCACTGATCATCACTGAGTCGGGTGTATTCTGTATGTTTAACAGCAAAGAGAAACTCCCTTCTCTCCCTAAATCCTCGGCCATGACTTCACAGCGCCGTGGAACTACTTCTTGATAGCTGGAGAGTTTTGATTGAAGATAATATTTCGGTTTTGTTTTTAAAGTCCCAACGAGTCAGCTGCGTGTACGAATGCCTCTTTGATCATCTCTCTGTCTCGGAATGACTTCTTGTGTTTAATGATGGAGTGACTCACCCGGAACGGTGCTTCGGTGGCTGCCTTAGCATTTGAAGTCAGCCGTGAAAAAATGACTGCTGTCCGGATAACTGTGATTTTTAGTTCCTTCACCTTCCTCTTCCTTAGCTCGCTTAAAGGAGGGAAGTCAGTGTCGTAGTTTTTATGAACAGTCCTAAAGTGCCGCTCCACATTTCCCTTATTCGGAACAGCAGACCAGACAAACGCACTTCGAATATGACAACTTAAAAAAAAAATCCTCCCATTCCGCATGGAAGTGATAAGTCTTCGGTTTCTTGCTTGATCCCGCGACCTCACTCATTTTGTCCCCTTTCTTCAGTAGGAATAAATTGGGAAGTTAACTCAGTGATTTTGCTCGCTAGCCTTTACCGCTACCACGTTTGATCACACACGCGTGGAGAGAGAAAAGACGAGATCTCAGACTGGCTGGCCTGTACATCAACAATAACATCTATATTATTATTATTATTATTATTATTATTATTATTATTATTATTATTATTATTATTATTATTATTAATTTACCTACACTTCCTTTGCGATCGTATTGTGCACCCCTGTACTAGAGGCTGTGGTAGTAAATTTGCACATAAAACATGTGCAGTCCATCTCAATTGCCATAATTATTATTTCCATGGTGTATTCAGTTATTTCCAGTGTTCCCAGAACAGATCCGCTGTGACCCTGACCAGGATGAAGGACTTTGTGAAGATGAATCAATAAGAGGATGAATACACTAATCTGATTCATCATATTAGTCAGCAAATGTAACGCAGCCTACTCTACATTCCTAAGCAAGGATAGAGAGATTCGCCCTTTATTAATATAGCTACAAGTATAGCTAGCAATATCTAATATTAATAGTGTTATATGCAAGAGCAGGTAGGTGTGCTCTGCTTGTTTTCCCTGTGTGCAGGTCAATGAATGCCTGATGTGACACGTGCCTATACGCTGCTTATACACTGCCAATCATCACACTGTGGAAAGTTTGGATGGAGGCGCTTTGGTGGGAGAGTTTGGTTATTTGGTTGACATTTTCGAGCACCACTTACAGCATTTGGCAGATGCCCTTATCCAGAGCGGCTTACATTCATCTCATTCATACATTTGAGCAGTTGAGGGTTAAGGGCCTTGCTCAGGGGCCCAGCAGTGGCATTTTGGCAGTGCTGGGATTTCAACTCATGACCTTCTGGTGAAAAGGCCAATGTTCTTATCCACTGAGCTACCACTGCCCCTAGGGTTAGGGTTAGGGGTTAGGGTTAGCATTAGAGTTAGATATATAATGCTTAATTTTATGGAAGCTTGTTTTTGATTTTGCTTTGTTTTTTCCTTTAGCAATGACCACAATCCAGCCTCTGTTTGTTTTTGTTCAGGACTTCTTTCTGTTCTATGTAAAGTGTCACGTACTTTCTTTTCTGTTGACTGACCATGTGGCGTTAAAAAAAACAGCTCTATATGCACATTAAATACTTTGAGATGCATTCTTCTGGTGTGTTTGTGTGTTTTTAAACCTTTTGGTTCTGGTTGCCTACACTCATCAACTGTTGGACAGTACTGTTACAAGCCCCATTTAACCCTAGGACTTCTCGGTGTACTAGAGGTTGCTGAAATTAAAATGTAAGCTTTGGCCAGAGAGGAGAGCAGTGAGGACAATTGAGTATTTTAGCAAGAGATCAGCTAGTGAATAGAATAGAATAGAAATGTATTTTCTGTATGTGTCCTTTTCAGCTTCCATCTGACTGTTGGACTGTCCTTATTGACTCAAAAAGAGCCCCACCTCTACCTTCTTGAGACGAGGTTGTTCCTTCTCAGGTTCGTATACAGGTCCGATTTGTCAAACAACTGGCACATACCTGAAGTGTGAGCAGAGTACTTTCTGTTTGGTCTTACGGCTACGTCCATATAGCTTGTAGCACTGTCCATACCAACATCCTCTCTCATTGCCATATCCACATTGCGTGTACTGCCTTCAAAACAGCTGATTTCAACACCTTGAATCATGTTTATGCCAGTTTGTACCCTTAAAACTGGGTAACAAAGTAACCAAACCAATGGCATTTCCACATTAGTAAGGTTAAATAAATTATGTTTAATAATTTTAAATACAAACTTATATGTCAACCGGTCTGTACTGTGTTTAATTTTTTTTATATTCATTTTATTAATCTTTTCAATACTGTACTACAGTATCTCACATTTTTGTAAATATTTGATGATATCTTTTCATGTGACAACACTGAAGAAATGACACTTCTCTACAATGTAAAGTAGTGAGTGTACAGCTTGTGTAACAGTGTAAATTTGCTGTCCCCTCAAAATAACTCAACACACAGCCATTAATGTCTAAACCACTGGCAACAAAAGTGAGTACACCCCTAAGTGAAAATGTCCAAATTGGCCCCAATAAGCCATTTTCCCTCCCCGGTATCATGTGACTTGTTAGTATCACAAGGTCTCAGGTGTGAATGGGGAGCAGGTGTGTTAAATTTGGTGTCATCGCTCTCACACTCCCTCATACTGGTCACTGGAAGTTCAACATGGTACCTCATGGCAAATAACTCTCAGAGGAACTGAAATAAAGAATTGTTGCTCTACATAAAGATGGCCTAGGCTATAAGAAGATTTCCAAGCCCCTGACACTGAGCTGCAGCACGGTGGCCAAGACCATACAGCCGTTTAACAGGACAGGTTCTACTCAGAACAGGCCTCGCCATGGTCGACCAAAGAAGTTGAGTGCACATGCTCAGCATCATATCCAGAGGTTGTCTTTGGGATATAGACATATGAGTGCTGCCAGCTGCATGGCTGTCGTCCCAGAAGGAAGTCTCTTCTAAAGATGATGCACAAGAAAGCCCACAAACAGTTTGCTGAAGACAAGCAGACTAAGGACATGGATTACTGGAACCATGTACTGCGGTCTGAAGAGACCAAGATAATCTTATTTGGTTCAGATAGTGTCAAGCATGTGTGGCGCCAACCAGGTGAGGAGTGCAAAGAGTGTGTCTTGCCTACAGTCAAGCATGGTGGTGGGAGTGTCATGGTCTGGTGCTGAATGAGTGCTGCTGGCTCTGGAGAGCTACAGTTCATTGAAGGGATCCATGAATGCCAACATGTACTGTGACATACTGAAGCAGAGCATTGACACTATATTGACACTTTGGGCCCAATTTGGATATTTTCACTTAAGAGTATACCAACTTTTGTTGCCACTGGTTTAGACATTAATGGCTGTGTGTTGAGTTATTTTGAGGGGACAGCAAATTTACACTGTTACACAAGCTGTACACTCACTACTTTACATTATAGCAAAGTGTCATTTATTCAGTGTTAGATTTAATCAAATATTGACAAAAATGTGAGGGGTGTACTCACTTTTGTGAGATACTGTATGTAAATAAACTATAATTTTGTTTCTTGGATTTTAATTACAGTACCTGTTTAAGGATCAAATAAATTAACACAAAAATAACCTGTTTAAGGATCAAAAAAATAACACAACAGTATTACGGACCTGCCTGGTGTGTTCCTTGGTCTTCATGATGCTCTCTACGCTTTCAACAGAACCCTGAGACTATCACAGAGCAGGTGCATTTATACAGAGACTTGATTACACACAGGTGGATTCTATTTATTACCATCAGTCATTTAGGACAACACTGGATCATTCAGAGATCCTCGCTGAACTTCTGGAGTGAGTTTGCTGCACTGAAAGTAAAGGAGCCGAATAATTTTGCACGCATCACTTTTCAGTTTTTTATTTGCTAAAAAAGTTTGAAATATCTAATAGATTTCGTTCCACTTCACAATTGTGTCCCATTTGTCGGTGATTCTTCACAAAAAATTAAAATTTTATATCTTTATGTTTGAAGCCTGAAATGTGGCAAAAGGTTGAAAAGTTCAAGGGGGCCGAATACTTTCGCAAGGCACTGTATATATAGACATGTTGGTCAGGTGTTTGTGACATAGTTCTTGTGAGATAGCTGCTGGTTTCGAATCGTTTGCTGGGAGTTTCGTACCTGTGTCAATGTTTGCTCTCCTCAGTGAAGCACTCACTGTGAAACCTGAAAGAGCTGTGGTTATAGGAGACTACCTTAAAGCAGGTGAAATTAGCTAGGCCTTTAGGGGCACCAACAGCACTAGTTAGGTGTCTACTGTACCAAGAGTCAGGGCACAGGACATAGCAGGTAATCTTAGGTTCTTAGACAAGCATAGGTTTTCAAAGATAGTTTTTCACATATGTAGGACCTAATGATATATGCCTTTGTCATTCAGTGGTTATGAACATTGTAGAGCTGTGTATATTAATTAATTAATTAAAATTTTATATCCTGAATTTATATATGTCTGTAAAGCTGCTTTGCAACAATGTCCATTGTTCAAAGCGCTATACAAATTGAAATATTGACAGCCATCTTTTTTTCCTGATCTTTTATTTCTCTTTTCTTGTTCAGTTCTCTTTGCTCAGGCAGCCCTTTTGTAAATGAGCTTGACTTCTTTTCCACGAAATTAGCCAACTCCAAGCCCCGCCCCCTTTATGTGCAATTTTTGCCCAGCAAGAAGAGATTCTGAATTCCTACTCTTTTCATTGAGTCGGAATGTCACAACTGTCACGTTCCGTGACGTAGTGGAAGATAAGCCAGATGCAAAAGCAGTATGAACAGTTGTTTTATTAAAAGAGAGAAGAGCTGACAAATCCAAATCGTTATCCAAACACGTAATCCAGAACAGGCAATGACAGACGATCGGCAAACAGGCATACACTAGGGCTAGGCAGAGATCAAAGTAGCGGTCACGGGATAAAGGGTCGATATACCAAACATGAAATGAACAACAGCAAAGGACTAGTAGCGGAGTAACCAGTATAAACTAATCTAACAAACTAAGAATGAGACTAAGGCTATAACTAGGACTGTGACTGTGACTACATCTATTCGAAACAAAAACCTAATCTATCTCTATGCTAATCTAAGTCTAATATTCCGCATTGAGTGTTGCGAGGCAAGCGGTATATATACTGACATGATTACCCTCATAACAGCTAACAGCTGAGGGTAATCCAGACACACGTGACATGACAACCAGTGACAGGACAGGGAGGAGACATGACATAAACAATAACAAAAACACGTGTTGAAATGTCACTGCTGTCAACATTGGAAAAACAGGTGCGCAATTGCGCATTCGCGCTTAGAGCACGCTGCTTCAAGTGGAAATCATAACACGGATCAAGAAGAGTCGACGATTGTTGTTCTTTGCATAACTGTGGCTGAAACTTGTTTGATTAAATCTCACTCAACTTTATAATTGACAAAATAACTTTATTTGATTTTATAAAATCTATTAAAAGTAGTTACATCAGCAATGAACTGCATACTGAGAAAAAAAACTCTCTGCATTTACGTTATTTATGATATTATTGTATCTGGTGTGTCTGTGCTTCAACATTTATTTCCATATATATTGTCTTGGGACATTAATCATTGTATTGTTAATTATATTGTGATTGTATAGTGAGGCCAAAGACCAATTTTCAGCCAAGGCTGAACAATAAAGTAAAAACTAACGTCCTCTTATTATTATTCTTATTAGTATTATTGTTGTTGTTGTTGTTGTTAATAATCTCTCTCTTGCGCACAGGTTTGATCATAGATATTCTGCTCAATGTCATCTGCCCTCATTGGGAATTATTTTTAGACGTCTTTAGAGAAAAGACACTAGAAATAGATTGAATGTACCACTTTCCCAAACTCCAACTGATTCCAATTATACTTGTAAATGATTATCACTTGAATAGCTACTCTATTACATACTGTCTTTTACATTTATGGCTATAAAACCTCAGAAAATTTCCCCAAACCCCCCGACAGAGGATTCAGAACATCATCATCATTTGTGTTTCAATACAAATGTAATTTATTTACACACTATAATAGAACATCATTTAGGAAAGGAATGTGTGTAAGATACCTGATAACACAATATTACTGAGTGAAATGAACATCAACATCCAGTTTAGTATCATTTATTAGAAATAAAAATAAATGTCATCCAATTGCCATCGAATCAGCTAGCACAATCGTTTATTAAAGTTATAGTTGTTATATATGTTAATTTCCTCTTTCCATACTTTCCATACATACTAATTTCCATACTTTCCATACTTCCATACTTTACTTGTTATATCATAAGAAGAAAAAGAAGAGTTTTGCTATTACTAATTAAAGCTGTTAGAT